GCAAAATATACCCGCATGCAATGTGTTAAACCGCGCCGAGTTGCGTGAGACCGCGCGTACTTTTGTCTTACGACGCGTTTTTGACATGGTGATAATGCCGCATCTCTACTATAAAATCCCGTGCCGAGACCTCGTTGCCGCATCACAAAGTGGACAGTGCGTGAGTCGAGAGTATTATTGACAACAATCGAGAAAAAATGGATAGTATTATTGAGAATTACAGCCTATGGAAACAGTTTTATCGACAAATTATATTGGACACAACTAAAAGTATTGTTTGTGTGGAAAGTAGATGTCTTTATGAAAAAATTGTGGAAAAAAATGTGTGTACATAATAATTTTTTTTGCCTTGTAGTACTGAGATGAAATGAGGATAAAAGGATTTATAAATATTAGACATAGACAATTGATGCGAATGGAAAGGCGAGAGGCACGGCAGGATCTTGCAGAAATGTGAGGTGACACCTCGGAGAGCCGATCAGACGATAAGGTGAATAGTTGGAAATATACTGACATCTTTTATTTGCGACAACTGTTCGGAGAAGGGCCATATAAAATCTTTGAAGAAGAAGAAGAATGGTGGGACTTATGTAAGTATCATTTTATATTAAATAAAATTTATTAAATAAATTATTAAAAACTACTCAAATGTGTCTTTTCTGTTACAGAAGCGGTCTCCCCCTGGCCCGGCGCACCGTCCCCCCTTCCATATATTAAAATTTTTTATATCATTATATTTTTATATTTAATATTTTTTAATTTTAAAATTTTTAATTTTCAATTTTATATTTTAAATTTCATATTTTCATTATTGCTATTGTTGTGTCCGGAACGGCACGGAGTGTGGAATCGGGAGATATGAATATCTCAGGCCGTCGAAGGAGAGAAGTTGAGAAACGGCTGCTTTCAATTATCGAAGAAGTTGTATTGTTCGAAATCCGTAATTATTGTCGCGGTCTGAAAATTCGAAGAAATAACATTCGCATTTTGCCATTATAAAATCCGAAAATTCGAATTCAACGGGAATCGAGAAACTTCTCGAAAATTCTATTTTTCGGCAAAAAAACCCGACCGTTCGAGTTATCTCTCGTTTTTTCGGTGTTAAAGAAACGCTCGGTACAAACAATTGACAATAACATTGTCAACCGCCGACAACAGCTAAGCCACCAAAGGGCATGCGCGCCCATGCGTCACGATCAGCTGATCGCCAATCAGCTGGTCAAAAGGGGCCGTGCGCATGACAAGTGCGAACTTTTTAACTTTTGACCTCATCGGTGGCCAATAATGCGCGGCGCCCTGAGGTCACCGCCAAAAATCGAAACTAATTGGTCCACGTCGCAGCGGGCCCAAAATCTCGCTCGCAATATAATGGGCACCGCGCGTGGACCCGGCGAAGTCTCGCACTTTACGCTCAGTACTCTAATCGACCGCTTTGTTACACCGCTTTACTCGAAAACAACCGCTTTCTTTTGGACACTCGCTATCTTCTCGGCAAATTCGCAGATTAAACCGCACACGACGACCGCTATCTCTTTCGGACTTTGATTTTCCGCACGTATTCTCGCGAATTCGCGCACGATAACTGTTTCGCTTCTTTGCACCGCTCGTATCTTCACTCTGTGTTGTCACTTGTAACTTTTAATTTTGACTTTAATAAAGTCCGTCTTTTGTTTCTCGGAGTCAACCGTTCTTTTCACTGACGGCCCTTCACTTCCCAAATTTCACCGCCGGAATCGCTCGCGAACATTTCTGGTCCTTCGAGCCGGATTGTCATCATCATCCGCGTCCGCTGTTTCGTGAGTGATCCTCTCAGTGGCGTGCAGTTTGTGGCGTGCAGTGATCTCTGAAATACAAGAAGAACATTGAGCATGAGTACAGACGTTAAGGTATTGCTGGAGGCGCAGCACGACATCCACGGTCGGATCTCCCGCGCCGTGGACAATCTTCGGAAGATGGGCGTGAGCAACATCACCCGCGACGCCATCCAAGCCCGCATCAGCATCCTGGACAACCTCTGGCAGAAAATGGAGGCCCAGCATGAGCTCGTTCGAGCAGCGCTGAAAGACCGGTATCAGGAGAGTGAGTACGCTGTATCCAATTTTATCGAAGTCGCGGAGAATACTTACGTGACGCAACGTAGCACGTTGACTGGCTACGCTGAAAAGCTCAAGGGCGAGACGCCCGTTGCGGCCAAAGGCGAGCCGAATCAGGAACAGGCTCCTAAAACCTCGGTGCCGCGCATCAAGCTTCCGACGTTTTCGGGATCATACGAGGAGTGGCCGTCCTTTCGCGACCTCTTCCTATCGGTTATCGGGGGGAATGCGTCAGTCTCCGACATCGAGCGCTTCCACTACCTCCGGTCTTGCGTCAAAGGGGCCGCTGAAAAATTAATCAAGTCGTTAACAGTGACCGGTGACAATTACCATCGCGCTTGGTCGGTTCTGTGCAAACACTTCGAGAACAAAAGAGAGCTCATCCGTTCTAACTTCGCTGCGTTCACCTCGGTCCCCAAAATGAAATGCGATTCCGCGGAGGAACTTGGTCGCATCCATAACGCCGTGACGACCGCAGTAAACGCGCAGGAGAGTATAGGGAGGCCCATCAACTCCCATGGGATGGATCTCCTTAATTTCCTCGCTATCGAGCTTTTTGACTCACGCACACGGATGGAATGGGAGTCCTCGACCTGCGACTCCGCCGATCCGCCGGATCACGACACTCTCGTCGACTTCATCGCCAAGCGCATCCTTACGCTAAATGCCGCCAAACCGAGATCGCCGCTGAAGAACTCCGAAAGTCCGTCGCGAACCGCCAAGGCTCACCACGCGAAGACCGGATCCGACCACTTGAAGTGCGCATTGTGTCAGGGAAAGCACGTGCTTATGCACTGCAACGAATTCAAAGCCAAGCCCGCGATCGACCGAAGGTCCTTTGTGGAACAGAGCAGACTGTGCTACAATTGTCTGGGGAATCACTTAATTTCCAAATGTCAGTCTGTAAGGACCTGTCTGACGTGCAAGCACAAGCACCACACTACGCTGCACGACGCGTATGCTTCGTCCTCGTCCAACGAAGCAACCGCTCTATCCGCGATGCACTCCGCATCTGACCGCAAGGCGATCCTCCTCGCGACCGCCCGCGTACACATCACTGACCGCGCCGGGGACCTCCATCCCGTTCGAGCGATGCTCGATCAAGGCTCCGAGGTGTCAATCATCTCCGAGGCGCTGGTCCAGCGCCTGAGGCTTCCCCGCTCCAGCTCCTCAGTGTCAATCATCGGCATCGGCGGAGCTCGATCCGGGTCAACCCGCGGCAGGGTGTCGCTCGATCTTTCCTCGCCGATCACAGGAGCCAAGCTTAAGGCCGTCGCCTTCGTGCTGCCCCGCCTGTCGGCATATCAGGGTTCGGCGGTAAAAAACCTCGCCTCCTGGCCGCATGCTCGTGGTCTTGAACTCGCCGACCCCAGGTATCAGGAGCGCGATCCGGTCGAGTTGTTGTTGGGCGCCGAAGTTTACTCAATCATCCTGGAAGTCGGCCTTCGCAAGGGTGGTCCCCAAGAGCCCGTCGCCCAAAAAACTGCACTGGGATGGATTCTGTCAGGAGGGTCCAGCTCGGTGCCCTTCCAAGGTCTCCACAGCTCCCTGCAGTGCACTGTGGATCAAGAATTAAATCAGCTCGTGCACAACTTTTGGGAACAGGAGAGAGAATGGTCTCCCCCAGTTGCACCCACGCCAGAGGAAGAGGAGTGCGAAACCTTCTTCACTCTTACTCACCAGCGGACAGCCTCAGGAAGATACGTTGTACGTCTCCCATTCTCTTCCTTGCCAACGTCGCTGAATGAAACGCGAAAACCAGCCGGGAGCCTCTTGAACGCTATGGATCGTCGGTGCAAGAAAGACCCTGAATTCGGAGTCCGGTATCGAGAATTCATGCAGGAGTATGAGGACCTGAAACACATGAGTCCTGTGAATACGGTCGGCACCGCTGAATGTTACCTACCTCACCATGGAGTCCTCCGCCAGTCCAGCTCCAGTACTAAGCTCCGCGTTGTCTTCAACGGGTCACAACGCACCAACTCCGGAGACTCCCTCAACAACCATCTGTTTATCGGCGCCAACTTACTGCCAGCATTAGCTGACATCCTTCTCCGCTGGCGCCGGCACCGCTTCGTATTCGTTACCGATATCGAAAAGATGTTCCGGCAAATACTCGTCCATCCAGAAGATCGCCGCTTTCAGCGGATACTCTGGCACTCAGGGCCTTTCGACAAGGTCCAAGAATTCGAGCTGAACACCGTGACCTACGGGCTCGCCTGCGCTCCGTTCCTCGCCGTCCGCGCACTTCGTCAATTAGCAGCAGACGAAGAAGCGCGTGGCCCGAAGGGGGCAGCCGCTCTGCGCCGTGACTGCTACATGGACGACGTAATTACGGGATCGGACACCTTGCGCGATGCGGTCGCCCTGCAGACGGAACTCCGAGAGCTTTGCACGGCGGGCGGGTTTCCGCTGCGGAAATGGGCCGCCAATAGCGAGGCAATCCTGGAGGGAGTTCCTCAGGATCATCGACTCCAGCAGACGCACCACTCCTGGGAGAACGAGGTGCACTCCACCTTAGGCCTGCGCTGGCATCCCGCCGGTGACGAATTCTCTTTCGCGATCCAGCCTCGAGTCTCTGGAGGGTACACGAAGAGGCGAGTCCTAGCGGAAACGGCGCGGTTATTCGACCCCTTGGGGTGGCTCGCCCCTGTTATTATCCGCGCCAAGATACTGATCCAATCAGCGTAGTTGAAAGGGCTGGATTGGGACACTCCGCTCCCAACTGAGGACGCGCAGTCCTGGCAGCGCCTACTCTCCGAACTCCATTTGCTTGAGCGCCTCCGAATAAGGCGCTGGCTGGGCACTGTCCACCAGGGCACGCAGATCGAAATCCACGGGTTCGCCGACGCGTCCGAGCGTGGTTTCGCGGCGGTCGTCTATCTTCGCGTGAAGAGTGCCGACGAGATGTCCATTCACCTACTGGCGGCTAAAAGCAAGGTCGCGCCAATAAAGCTCGTGACGCTTCCACGGCTGGAACTCTGCGCTGCATCGTTGCTGACGAGTCTCGTACGGCACCTCCGGTCTTCACTCGACTTACCATCGGCACCAGTATACCTCTGGTCCGACTCCCGAGTCGTCCTTCACTGGATCAAAGGCCACGCATCTCGGTGGAAAACCTACGTGGCCAACCGAGTGTCGCTGATTCAGCAGCGGCTCCCCGAAGCTCAATGGAGGCACGTTCCAGGCCAAGAGAATCCTGCCGATTGTGCATCCAGAGGGATCGCACCGAGGGACCTGCTGAACCACCCCCTCTGGTGGACCGGCCCGGCCTGGCTGCTCAAGAGTCAGTCGCTATGGCCGGACAGCAACGACCAGACATCGGTAGGAAACGTTCCTGAAACGAGAATGATTGTATTAGTCGCCACCAGCAAGGACAGAACGGAGCCGGAAACCCTTCTCCAGTTTTCAACGCTGCATAGGCTCTTACGTGTCTCTGCCTGGTGCCTTCGTTGGCGCCGAACTTCTCGCCATTCTTCAAACACTGCTCTGCTCCCGGACGAACTCGACTCCGCTTTCCTCCGTTGGCTTAGTGTCGTCCAGGGAATCCACTACTCTGCTGAGCTCGCCGCCGTGCGGGAATCTCGCCCAATGCCTCACGGCAGTCACCTGGCCAGGCTGCACCCCTTCATCGACGACAAGGGAGTCCTGCGCGTCGGTGGTCGCCTGAAACACGCCATACTGACCTTCGATGAACGGCACCCCATGATAGCTCCGCCCACCTCATGGCTCACCCAGCTCCTGGTGGAATCCTGCCACCGCCGGACGCTGCATGGAGGCACGCAGCTCACTCTGGTGCTCCTCCGCCTCCGCTTCTGGGTTCCGCAAGGTCGAGCCGTGGTCAAACGGATCCTGCATCGATGCGTGACTTGCACCCGCTGACGAGCCAACACTCCGCAGCTTCTCATGGGCGACCTCCCTCGAGAGCGAGTCACTCCTGCTCGTCCCTTCCTGAGAACGGGAGTCGATTATGCCGGCCCGATATTCATCCGCACATCCAAAGGGCGTGGACATCGAGCGCATAAGGCGTTCGTAGTTGTATTCGTTTGCCTTTGTTCCAGAGCGATCCACCTTGAAGTAGCGTCTGACTACTCCTCAGACGCTTTTCTCGCCGCCTTCCGCAGGTTCGTTTCCCGCCGAGGACTGTGCGAGGAAATCTACTCAGACTGCGGGACAAACTTTGTCGGAGCAGACAGACAACTCCGAGAACTTTTCCGAGCATCTTCTTCCGACGGCCGTCGCATCTCTCAGGCCGTCATCAAGGAAGGTATATCCTGGCGCTTCAACCCGCCTAGCGCACCACACTTTGGAGGACTCTGGGAGGCGGCGGTGAAGTCGACGAAACATCACCTGCGACGGGTGATAGGAGAGGCTACGCTCACCTTCGAGGAGATGAGTACTCTTCTGGCTCAAATCGAAGCGTGTCTGAACTCTCGTCCATTGCAGGCCTTATCTGACGATCCGGACGACCTGTCTGCACTGACTCCAGGGCATCTCCTCATAGGCGCCCCTCTACTGGCGGTTCCAGAGCCTTCATCGGCCGAACGGTCACCGAGTACGTTGTCGCGGTGGCAGTTACTCCAGCGAATGCGCGACCACTTCTGGCAGCGATGGTCCCAGGAGTACATCCACGCCTTGGCATCCCGTCCAAAATGGCTCAAGGCCGAGCTCGCTCCGGAGATCGGAGCTTTGTGCCTCATCCGCTCGGAGTCTACTCCACCTACCCGATGGCCTCTCGCGCGTATCATCAGGTTACACCCAGGAAGCGACGGCACTGTCCGCGTGGTGACCGTCCGAACATCCACTTCGGAACTCGTCCGGCCGATCGTAAAGCTCGTCTTTCTGCCGGGAGTCAAGGAGGCTCACACGCCCGCGGACGAGTAGCATACTCAAGCGTCATTCTCCCCGCGCAGCGTTTTCGCGCTTCTCTGTACATATTGTATTATAATGCACTTCCCGTCGCTTGTATATATTATATACGTCAGCTGTCTGTCACCCGTTCCGCGATTTCACCGTGTGCTTTCGCTATCACTCATTCACTATCACTAGTTCACTATCACTCGTTCACTATCACCCACTCACCATCACTCACTCACTATTGTTACGGAAGCCTTCGTGGATCATTGCGCTTCACTTTGCACGATTTTCCATTCTTTCACCACCGTAGCAATTTCGCTCCATACCGTATCACTCGTTCTCGCGAAAGATTTATCGAATCTGTTCGACACGTGTCTTCTCATTACGTCACACATTCCATTCATACATCGCGATCGACAGCTCATCAACGGAACAGTACGCGACACCTGTCCGCGTCTGCACACACTCACAAATTTCGTCATGTAATGACGAGGCGGGCGGGATGTTCGAAATCCGTAATTATTGTCGCGGTCTGAAAATTCGAAGAAATAACATCCGCATTTTGCCATTATAAAATCCGAAAATTCGAATTCAACGGGAATCGAGAAACTTCTCGAAAATTCTATTTTTCGGCAAAAAAACCCGACCGTTCGAGTTATCTCTCGTTTTTTCGGTGTTAAAGAAACGCTCGGTACAAACAACTGACAATAACATTGTCAACCGCCGACAACAGCTAAGCCACCAAAGGGCATGCGCGCCCATGCGTCACGATCAGCTGATCGCCAATCAGCTGGTCAAAAGGGGCCGTGCGCATGACAAGTGCGAACTTTTTAACTTTTGACCTCATCGGTGGCCAATAATGCGCGGCGCCCTGAGGTCACCGCCAAAAATCGAAACTAATTGGTCCACGTCGCAGCGGGCCCAAAATCTCGCTCGCAATATAATGGGCACCGCGCGTGGACCCGGCGAAGTCTCGCACTTTACGCTCAGTACTCTAATCGACCGCTTTGTTACACCGCTTTACTCGAAAACAACCGCTTTCTTTTGGACACTCGCTATCTTCTCGGCAAATTCGCAGATTAAACCGCACACGACGACCGCTATCTCTTTCGGACTTTGATTTTCCGCACGTATTCTCGCGAATTCGCGCACGATAACTGTTTCGCTTCTTTGCACCGCTCGTATCTTCACTCTGTGTTGTCACTTGTAACTTTTAATTTTGACTTTAATAAAGTCCGTCTTTTGTTTCTCGGAGTCAACCGTTCTTTTCACTGACGGCCCTTCACTTCCCAAATTTCACCGCCGGAATCGCTCGCGAACATGTATATTTAGTACAATTATACCTTTATTAATAGTTTGTCTTATTTAAAAAAAAAGTTTGTCTTATTTAACGTCCTTATTTAGTTGGATTCCTTTTCTGCCCTTGCCTCCATTCCGCGTAGGCTCAGTAATTATTCTAAGTTCTGGCGTACTTAGTTCGGTCCGCAGTTACACTTACGTTGCACTTAGTTTTCGACTGTCCGTCGTGCTCTTGCGGTGATTCGTATTTAAACCCTTGTTTTGGGAAGGTTTTTGAGAGTGGACCGCTTAGTAACATGGTCATACGGGGTCATGGTGCGGTCAAGTTAAAGTGCAAGCGAAGATGATTCGATGTCGAAATCCTTCGTTGCACTTCCGTATTTTTTGGCAAATTCGCGCGTGGTACGCTGAGGCAGCGATTTTATAAGGTGAATGTTCGCTATCGCATTTACAATAATATTTGATGCTGACGCTTAATACTTTAATTATGTATAGGTTATAGTCTGTGAGACTATAACACTATTATTATTCTTATTATTATATTATATTCACACACACACACACACAACAAATGTATTAACACACTTTAATAAATTGTATATTTTATATTTGTAAAAAAATCTAATTATTTGCATGCCTCTCCTTGCGTTCCCATCCCTTGCGTCTCTCTTGCGCTAATTGTAAGTATCGTTCTCTCTCACACGTGTTGTCTTAGAATAAGTATAATAATCTCTCTCTCACGCTGACACAGAAAAAAATGTATAACAGATTTTAAAATAAATGTATATTTGTAATTGAAAAAAAAACTAATTATTTACGCGCCTCTCCTTGCGTCTCTCTTGCGCTAGTTGTAAGCCTCTCACACACGTTGTTATTCTCGATATTATCGTTCTCTCTTGCACGCGTCGGTTTTGCGCTATCGTTCTCTCTCTCGCACGTGTTGTTCACAATATTATCGTTCTCTCTCTCTTTTCATATGCTCGTCGTTCACTCAATTACCTTTGCATCATCCTTCTCACGTCATCTTACATTGCATCCTTGTTCCACGATGCCATCCTTGTCACACGTTGATGACATCCTTGTCGCACACGTAGCACTATCCTTTTCCCACACGTAGCGCTATCCTTCTCACAGCACCGTCTTCTTTTCGCGGATCCCCCTTCACTTCGCGGACTGCCTCGTCCATCGGTCGCGTCGCGGATCCCCCTTCACTGCGCGGACCCCCTCGTCCATCGGTCGCATCGCGGATTCCCCTTCACTGCGCGTGACGTCACCCACCGCGCGCCGCAATTCCTCCTACCCCGCGCGTAACGTCACTCCCCCCGCACCGCGGTTCCCCTCACACCTCACCTCCCCTGAGAGGATCTGAGTTAGAACTCTCCTTGTATACCTACTAATAAATATTACACATGCAATATATTTCATAAAGTAAAAGTCAAAGTAATTTATCATATATTACTTTAATTATTTTGGTATTAAATAATGGGAGATTTCCCCCGCTCTTCTCAAGCTGAATAATGTCGAATAGCATCATTAGTCATTATTTCCTTCATACAATATTTTATTGCATCATGTAAAATAAAACCACCTATAAAATGTAAATACTGGACCTGTAATAAAACAATATAAATTTTGATTGAAATTTGAACTAATAATTTTATATATTCAGCCAATTACTATTCATAAAATTCGATTACTAATAAAAGTTTTTAAAAAACTTACAGCATTTTCATACTCTCCTTCCGAAATATTATTAAAATCTTGTACTTCTTGCACTCATTTTAGTGGAAATGAAGATGGCTTTGGAAGCATAATATTTAAACGTTTATATATTAATTTATCCAACTCATTGTTTATAATTCTGCAAAAATGCAATGTCATAATATTATACGAGTTTATCGCTACAAATAATATCACCTTTCTTCTTATTTACAACTACAAATAATATTTACAGATACATAACTGCGCTTGGATATTCATTGCTAATACTGAAAATCAATAATATTTATCCATTAAGGGGGGGGACTCATGTAAAATAAAATTTTTAAACAATTTTTTTATTGCTTAAAAAATTCATTTATTATCTGAAGAATGTTATTCCCGGCGTTTTAAACCCCAAATGAAGCCCTAAAAGTTCCTGAGGAGTCATCAAAGTGATGTGCTCCAAACGGTGCCGAGAGCAGGTACACGAGCGCTCGCGCGTGAACGGAGGAAAGAGGAAAGAGGAAAAAGGAAAAAAGAAAGAGCAGCAGAACTTGATGAATTTTTAGAAGAAGAAGGCTTACTATACGGCCCTGGTATCGCAGACTACGCTTTGGTAATTAAAAGTCTCTCGGAATACTACTTCTCTATACCGAAAACTTTAAACGCGCAAAAACGCGTTTTTCTCAAAACATAAATTTTCGCGCGCCGTGCAATGTAACTCAAAAAGTAATCGGCCGATTGACTTCAAATTTTGTACAGATATTCATTAACATATTGGCCATCGGATAAACCTAAAATTAAATTAAAATTGTAATAATAAATATTGTTTTTTTGCAATTTGTTTATAGAACAAAAGGTAATTTTTCTTCAAAATGGTCCTGAATTTTTAATTTTTTTTTTTTTTTTTTATAAAAATAGGTTCATCTGATACGGAACGTATTTTAATGAAAAAACTTTTGTTCTTTGATTTCAGTCAATCACAAGGACCTGGACGTTGCACGGCGCAAAAAGTAAGAGTCTACTTCGAATAGCTGCAGCGCCGCCATTTTGATTTTTTCAATAATAAAAAAAAATTTTTTTCAAATATATTTTATCATCAATATTATAATGCGCTTTATTGCAATTGAATAAACTTTCTCATTTTTTTAGTAAAAAATTCTTGAAAATACAGTTATTTACACGAGTCTCCCCCCTTAAGCAAAATATCATTAATACAATGTTATTACAATGATATTTAAAAACTTGTAACGTAGTCAAATATATAGTTTTTAATGTTATATATAATTGTAGTTTTAATGTTGTATAGAATATCGATATATTTTTAATGTTGTATAGTTGTAAGTTTTTAATGTTGTATAGAATTGCGATTTTGAAAGTTCATTAAAATGTTAAAATTTTCTTAAAGTAGGAATACCATAATGTTGTAAATAACTGTTATACTAAAAAATATTTCTTGCAGTGTTAATAGAATATTTTTACAACATTCAGAAAAATCATATTAAAAAATGTTTAGGATTCGCCCTGAATCGCGCATAAAATTATCACCCCCGGTCATACTAGCGCCATCCGTTTGCGCGCTATCGAACCCGCGTTCACGTACGCCGTTACTGTTTTTCAAAAATCATCCAGGATCTGCGTGATCACGCGAAATAATACACGGTCCTGGCCAATAAACAGGCTTATATATCACGCGATCTGACGTAATGATCAGGGATACGTCGAGGTCCGATCATACGATCCGTGATCAAATCTTTATCTATCGGGAGAAAGGCTTTCTCCCCGAGAGTCTTCCGTTTTCCATCATCGTGATCGGAGCGTCATACGGAGAGTAAAAATAGTGCAAATTCGAGAGTTCGCGATAATCTTAACGAGCAAAGTTAAGATTCGTTTCATTAGTCTCACGCGTGTGAAATCCTTAAACCGCGAGCCTCAATCATTGTAACAGTTTCGCGAAGTAACATTGCGCGCGCCAGTAATCGTGTCCGCAGTGCACGTGAACAGTTCAAACGCGAGTGCCGGGATCT